ATGAAGAAAATGGAAATGTTCCAGAAGCTGCACTATGTATCAGTTTCTTAAACTGGTTTGTTGTCACTTTTTTCGTTGTTGTTCAGTAAAAATTTTTGATCGGAACACAATAAGTGGTGAATCAAATTCACATTTTTTTTTTTTGCACTTAAAAAATTAGGAACGCTTTTCTAATTGTTGTCGGTGTTCTTGCACTTACGTTTTATTTGTGCTTACATTTAACTGAAGATTTCCCGAGCAATTAGAGCATTTTTCATCGACCAGTATCATCATCACCAGCTATATTTGGGTAGAACAGTAGTCAACAAACTATAACCATATAGCTGTACTTCACAAATGAAATTTACATTTAAAAAATACACTTAGAATAATTCAAATAATCAAATTTTTGAAATCAAGCGTATTCATTGTCTGCTCGATAAAAATAAGAATAAAACAGGAAAAAACATCACCAACACAGACAAATTAGAGAGAATTCATTTCTTGCACTCTTTTCACACTGAAATTATTAGAAATAAACAGCTAAGAGACTTACTGCAAAAACTTGATGCTAAACCTGATTATTCAGTAAACAAAAAATCTTGGTGAAGTGGGTCTTCAAAGGAATAGATGTGGCAACTGAAACTGTTGCAGTATTTTCCTAACTTTTTATCTCAGAATAAAAATTAATTTTCACATTACTGCTTTCAGGAGCGGGTCATCGGGGATAAATGAAACAACTGTAAGCATTGACTATTGCTTTCTCAAAATTTTCATAAGGTTTTGAAAACATAACTAGAACAATTTATAAATGAAGAATCTGTTCAACTAGCAAAATTTTCTTTTCATTCAATCTAATAAAATGCTTAAATGAAGCTTATAACTAACTATTTCCAGGGGAAAAAATCATGCTTCTTAATAGGAGGCGCCTCTGGAGGATTGTACAGCTGGAAATTCAATACTAAAATGCAAAAAGTCTTCCAGGTCAGTAATTCAGTGTAATCTGGAGCTAACTTTCACTAATGCATTCTCTGTAGATTACAGTCTAAATTTTTTGGTTACTTTTAGGCAGACTGTTCTGTAGTAAAAGTATTGCCATTGCAATCGCCACAAATGGTCTTATGTCTTTCAGAGGATATCACCTTTCGACAGCTCTCCTTTATCGATGATGACAAAGCCGAGGAAATAAAATGTGTAAGGATTCAATGTTTGGTTTTGTTATTAGACGTAGATGGTTCTTCGTAATAACACTTGACAAATAAAAGAATTTTACACTGCCAGAAGACAATAAACGAGCTGTGTAAACTGTTTTGTGAAACAGTACTAAAGTACTAATAATATTTTCAAAAAAAAAAAAAAAAAAAAAAAAAAAAAAAA